ATAAAAAATCCTTACATATAGTTTTTTATAAGTGTGCTCAACTATGTTTGTGTTTATACTGATGTGTAACACCCCAACGACTGGTAGACTAGTATTAAAAAAGAACCTACCTTCTAGATTAAGCATCGGTCAATTTTTGGGTTTCAGAAACCATTTGTTTTAGTTTTTCAATTGCAATTAATAATAATATTCATCAAATAATCGAACGTTCTGGATTTATTGTCTGCAAAGCATGTACATTCCCTAGTCCAAAACCATTTCAAAAGTTTGAAACATCGAAACATTCAAAATTTAATATATAATAAATATTACGACATAAAGCTTTTAATTAACGTCATCTGCCAATGTTCGGCTAATTTAAAATATCTTGTTAAAGTTAATATGGTTCATGTTTCATATAGAATGTTATAATGTTTCATTTTTTTTCTTATCGCTTGCTCTAATGCAACATCATAATAACATGTAAATGGGAATATTTTTTTATAAAGACACTAATATAAATATTGGCATTGGTCAGTAATCAAAATTAAATCGAAAATTGAAAAATCAAATCAAAACAACAAACTATCAAACGAAAATGAACCGCTCCATTCATCTTCTTATCTTTAGTTTCTTATATCTCTTGGTCTTTCTCATCTCTGGCGCTTCTGCTGCTTGCACTCCTGATGCCAACTGCGATTGCAACGTCAGCGGCTGCTCATGTGCAAATCTTACTGGAGGTCGCTACTGTGGTTATGAATTAGGCTGCGTTTCTCGACTTCGATCTCATATCTTTCAATGTTCTGGCACAGGAGACATCTGTCATTTTGGTCCTTGCACTAGAGGCTGTAGGGTTGGATTTCCTAATAGTCAATGCAACTAAGTAATTGATACAAGGAAGCATCGATCTTTGTGCGATATGAAGTTATTAGTGTAGAAAAGAATAAATTTCAATTAAATATTTTGCTGCTGTTCTTTTCATAATGTATAATTCAAATAACATGATGTTTTCTTTTATTGCTATTTTTTTTTAATAAAAATTTTACTTTATTCATATATTCATCATTTTATTTATTATTATTAATGGAAATATGCAAGTCACCGAAATATTTATTTTATTACAAAGAAAATTATTATTTGATTGAAAAATACGGTTATTATTACTATTATTATGATTACATTTCAAAATATATAAAATCTCATAAAAGAAAAAAGTTATAATGCGCAAAACTCACTGTAAAAGTTTTTAAATTTTTATATAGAAATGTGATATTTTTAATTGAAAAGAAAATAAGTAAAATTTAATGAGCTGTTGGCTCAAACTTTCTTTACATGTAGGAAACAAATATTTATTATTTTCAAGTGAAATGATTAAAGATTCTCTATGACAAATAGTTATTTTTCTAAAAGTTCTCCACCTTCAATACTTTCTTATTCCAAATTACCGAAATTGATAATAATAGTTGGAGGAAAACTGCAATTCTCCCTTTGGAAAATGAAATATCTGATGAAATTGAAAATTCAAGAAATATAGTTGAAGAAATTTCAAATAGAGAAAAAATGATGTTAATAACATAATAGTTGTTGAGAGTAACACTATGCCTAAAGTTTCAACGAAAGATGCCGCAATTTCCTTTGAGACAGCTTTTAATTTACTTCAACAAGGTGATTTAGAAATAGATTATAAAGAATTTAAGCATTTAAACCATTGAAAAAAAATGAAATTATTAGATAATGAAAAACTAATACAACCAAATATTACATCTTATTTCAACGTATGTATTATTCATTTATTCATTTATTTATTTCTCTATCTAGTTTATTGATTTATTACACTACCAAACCTCTCTATAAAGAACACTAAGTAAGTTTCTTTATAACGAATTCCCTTTTGTCGCCGTCTCCAATCCAATTTTTATAATTAATTTCTCTCTATAACGAACAAAAGCAGAAAAATACATATAATGGACAGAAGGTTCGGTATATAGAGGGAGTTTTGTATTATTAAAAAATTTTTGTCCGATCATCAATTTTGCCGGTAGGGTTGTTGGTAAGTAGACATGTCACTGACAAGACAGCAACCCAGGACTCAAAACTCTGAATTCGGGGAAAATCCAAAGCAGCAACCTAGGTTGCAATCTCCGAGTTGCAGAATTTTGAATCAATCTCAACACCAACTTTATTCTAGAGAGAGAGGTATAACACAAAGCAATCATCTCACAAGCACCAGCTATCAGTGATCAATGCCTGAGAGGAAGATAGGGAATGTTTTGTCCAAAGCCTTCAAACCTGATTCATCTTACCTGTGGATAAAACATTCCATTGCGTAACATACCGTTAACTTGTTGGTGACAGGAAATTTTAATTAAATCTGTCAACATCAGATTTATTATTCACAAGGAAAGGAAAAATGATTTATTTTGTGAATCCCAAAGATCTGGGTAGACACACATTGTTAAGAGTTTCATTTCTGCATGGCCTTGGTATTATCACAACTTGGATGATGCAATTGTTTGTTACGTCAATGATAACATCAAATGTATTGAATAATCATCAAAATCATCATGAATATTTAATGGATCGAGGTATTCACATAGAAAGAGATGATTAAATAGCTAAGTCTTGTTTTATATATAGTAAAGGCAGCGATCTTTTTCATTTTCTATCAATACGAATTTGTGAGGCAATCTCATTTTGTTTGTTATTTTCTAATCATATTGTTGACAGTCACATTCAATAGAAATTTTCTGAGATCCAACTTCGCTAATCAAAGGATATTAATATACGGCACTACCCTTAATCGAACCCTTTATAAGAAAAAATTTGAACACCTGCTAATTTAGATTGTATTAGTACTAATACTAGGGGTTGGCACCGTTAACCGTTTAACTGTGGTTGACCGGGTCGCCAAAAAGCCCGTTCTTTATTTTGATTGGGTAAGAATATGGCTACCTTATACTAAAATGAGGATAACTCATTTACGTTTACAACATGGTAAGTTTTCCGTGAATAAAGATAATAATAATTCCAGAACAACCACTCAGTTAAAAATAACAGTAATAACAATAATAGAAAACTTTATAATTCCAATGGCCCTGAAAAAATTACTACTACAACCACAACCATTTAAAACCGTAACAAAAACACTTGGTTCACTCTCTAGCAGACCATCTACTACTACTATTGGCACTAATTCTTTTCTTAAAAAACGTAAAATTGATGGGCGTTCACAACCTTCCCATACCGTCAAGCAAAAAAAACATTTTTCAAGTTTTGTTGATTGAATTTATGGAAAAAACTAAGAAATGAGCAAGAGAATTGAATTGTTGGAACAAAAGCACGAGAATTTGGCAGCCAATAGACAAAATTATGAAAAAGAGCTGGTAAGCATCAACGAAAAATTTAATGTCACGGAAGCTGATTGCAGTGAAATTAGAAGAGGGAAAAAGATAATTTGAAAAGGTCAATCAAAGAATATAACAATCTTCAGCAAGATTGGACATCATAAAAATGGAAACTAAAACTTTTGGCATGATGATAAATTGAAATGTCAAATGGAGTTGGAATGATTGAAAAAGAATATTTAATCAAAAGAGAAGATTATTAAACAAGAAGATTATATTAAAGGTTTGAAAAACAAATTACAAGGGTATAAAGATCTTTGTAATTCCTTACGTATTACAATCAAAAAAAACACAAAGAAACCTTTTTATTTACATAAATATAATTAATAATAACAATAAACAAATGTAATGAATGATATATATTATAATTACAACTATTGATATATATATATATACATACTAAATAATAAATTAATTACCAAGGAAACCATTTTTTATCTTTTGCTTGTTGTTGTTCGCTTAATTCCTTTGTCATTCTTAAGAAGTCATTACTACTGCATGCTAAACTTTCAACCCTATCATTAACTTGGTCAAGTTTTTCACCACGTTCATTGAGTGCATTCGTTGCCTCAGCCAACGCTTGGTGAGTTGACTGTGTTTGTTTAGTCAAACCATTTGTTAATTCATTATCATTAACATTTGATCCTTCTAATAATTGATTACGTTCAGCAATTCCATTAGATTTTATATCAGCATTTTGGTCATCTATAATACCCGACTCTTCTTCATACACATCAGATTCTTTTAGGTACATACGTCTATCTAATTCATCAAACTCTTCACGTAATTTCTCCACAACAGTTGTGGCAGAACGTTTAAAAACATTGCCTAATCTATTGGTGATCTTAGAAAATTGACTGGGACTTTGTGTATTTGCTTCATTATTAGTAGGTGTTGCTGGTTGACCGGATTCAACCACTTCACGAGCTTGAACATCATTAACTTTATTATTTTCAATCTTTATTTCTCTTGGACTTTCATAACGTTCTTCTTCTGTTATATTAGATAAATTGTTGTCGTTTGTATTGGTGGTAGTGTCTACAGAAGAATTTTGAGATTTAGAATCTAATGTTAAAGGAGGAATATCTGTGACAGGTGATTGAATAGGATGTGACTCGGGAGATTGGGAAATAGAATCATTATTAGCAATAAAATTATTGCCCGCATTAGTGCCAACACTTGGATTAACAAGTTTTGAGACAAATTTTTTCATAAAATCAAATTTCTTTGGTTCGCCTGAAGTTGTTGAAATTACTGGGTTTGGTGAAATAGGCTCACTTTGTTGTCTTTCTTTACTATTATTTACATTGTTGACAATTGGCTGCGAATTTTGTTTATCGTTTACTTCCAAAGTTTTTACTAGAAAATAAATTTATTTTAATAATTAATTTTTGAATTAAATACAAAATGTCAATATATTAATGTTGTGAATAATTGTTTTACTTTGCTCTTTGTTATTAGTATCACTGATATTATTATTAGCAGGAATAGTGGTAGTTTCTTCTTTAACGTCTTCATCTTCAACCTTAACTTCTCCCTTTTCTTCCTTTTCTTTCTCCTTTTCTTCTTTTCCATTCTTTTCTTCGTTTCCATTCTTTTCTTCGTTTCCATTCTTTTCTTCTTTTCCATTCTTTTCTTCTTTTCCATTCTTTTCTTCTTTTCCATTCTTTTCTTCTTTTCCATTCTTTTCTTTTTCCTTTTCTTCTTTTTCATTCTTTTCTTTTTCCTTTTCTTCTCCATTTTCTTCCTTTCCTACTTCTTTTTTCTTACTGTCATCATCAAGACCGGAAATTTTACCATTTACTATATTATTGTCACTCATTTGTTTTATAGGAGTTTTCTTGCTTAAATCTTTTTCTTTGACAGGTTTTTTTTCTAAAATTACAAATTTATAAAAATTATTACCACTGATATTCATAGCTTATATATCACAAAAATTTTAAAAAGGGGGATCTGAAAAAATAACAAGTTTTTTTTTCGCATGAAATTATTTAATGAATATGCGGCGGCGGTGCAGTGAGGCTTTACAAGAATTTCCAATATTGATACTGTTGTAATAACTTATTCAAACAATAAGTAATGATGTTGGTGATGGCGAAATTTATATGATAAATTGATTTCTGGTAAATAAGAAAAATTGAAATTAAAGAAAAAAAAACCAAAACAAACCTTAAATATTTTTCATCTTTATTTTTAAGTTTTTTATTTTTTTATTTTTGTTTGTGAATTTGGAAGTACAATCAATCGGTTTTACATTTAAAAGGAAATTAATAAGAAATTTGTCACATAATTTCCCTCCTAGTACTAGCTAAATAATAATAATTACACATTGAAAACATGTGGCCTAACTAAAACGTTTATTTACTCGTATTTCTTTTTTCATATTTTTCGTATTTATGAAATTTCATTTCAAAATCTGATTCTTTACTAAAATGACCTTCGTTAAAACAATTTTTGCAATACAAATCATTGTCGCAATTTTTACATCTAATTGTGGCATCTTCATTACAAATACCTAAAATGTTATTGAATAGATATTATGTAATGAATATATTGGATTAATATGATTTGTGATGAATACGACGGATAACTTACAGCACCAATTCTCTACATCTTCATCAGGAAGAATAAAATCTGACAAATCAACTGCTTTAGGCGGTGGTCCTAAAATTTTGGTGTTATTAATAATATCCTTATTATTAGATTTCCTTGAACCATCATCCTTATTATCATCATCATCCTTATTATTCTTATCACCATCATATTTATTATATTTATTCTCCAAATATATATCGTCTTTTATTTGATTGATTATGTCATCTTCATCTTCATCCTTATCTTCTTCATTCCTATCTTCTACATTTAAAACTTTAGAAAGTACTGAATTTAACTTTTCCTCATTAACCAAAGAAAATATTTCATTGTTTGACAATAAATTTTCTTCTGATAATAATAACTTCTCAATCTATTTTAATCAGTAAAAGATAATATTTATAAATATTTGCAAATACAACAATTTATATCCATTATATACATTCACCTCATCATCCAATAATTTATCATTGTTACTATCTAATATTATCTGATAAGACTTATTATCACTATTAGCATTTAATGAGTTTGTAACAATTTCTTTAGTGTCAGTGTTATTAATGCTATTTGAAGTTTTAACTGTGGTCTTTTCAAATAATTCGGAAAACCGTTTAGATAATTCTTCATCTCTAAATACAAAAAATATTTGGACTTGATATTTTTTTTCCCCTTTTCCCTAAATTGAACAATCATTAAAAAACTAAAAACTTACGTAACTTGAGATATAGTATTTGGCTGTTTTAATTTTTCAAGCCGTTTTTGTAAATCTAAAAATTCTTTATCAAAATTGGAATTTGTCATTTTTTTAAATAATTTTTTTATCTGCAAAAGAATTTTAAATAGTCACCAATTCATATGACCTTTTTACCTTTTTTGAAATCCAGGGGAACGTCATAAATCACATGATTTCCTTTAATTAGCGAGGGTTTATTGAAAGTCAAAAAATGACACAACTGTAGCACTATACATTAATTACATCATCATATCTATTTTATATATATTAATGCTGTAATAAACAACACTTTTTCTTTAGTCACATTCCTCCATGTAAAAAATAAATTGTCTTTCCAAAAAAAAAAGCATCAACAAAATAAAAAACCAAATAGGTGGATTCTTGTACAACCCATACACAAATTTTTTACATCAATTCAATTTTTTCGGGGGTTTTTTTTTAAAAAATAAGATATTGGGCGTGCAGCGGCCAATATCGATGTTATCGGGCAAACAGCACTATTAAGCTATTCTTTCAAACGTCACCGTTTATTAAAGTTTAATTATATTAATGATATTGATTTTCTTTACTACATAGATATGCTCGCTTTACATTTTTCTTTTATTATTATATTTTATATGCCAAAAAGAAAGGCATTGTTTATTTATTTTTCTATTCTAATACTAACAATTTATTTATTATTTATTCACTCCAATACCTCCAATTTAATTTATATTATTATTATACTTTAACAGGAGAGACCGTTCTGGAAACACAAAAATTAACAGGAGGGAATACAAAATTTTAACCCATGCAATTTGTTGATTGACCAATTAAAATCGCGAATT